CCACCGCCGCCGCCACCTCCTTCTTCTCCTTCCTCCCCCACCGCTGGATACCGACTGAAACAAATTGTTTGCATCTATTATACATACGATGCACATTGTAACTTATTTTTAAATTAGGAAACAACTTGAAAAATTGGCATGTGCGGTTTCATTTTGAAACACTCGCTACATTACTCATCGGAACAATGTTAATTCACTTCTATCCGTTGGTTTTCTTACATTTGCGTCTTATACAGTGCATGATTCGTCATCATTCATTCGAGAAACTATTCGGAGCTGTTCCCTTCCTTGTTTCAAATGTAAAAAACCAACGAACGTAAGAAAACCGACAGAAGTCAGCAAACGATCAATAAACTTGCGAGTAACAGTCAAGTAGCGTAAGGTGCGTCGAATGCGTATACATATAGGGGTAACTGACGAGAATCCCTAGAGCGGCTGAAATCGTAGCTCTCTTTTTTCAAATTCTTACTGCGTTTATTTATACCACATGCTACCATCCTGACTTACGTTCGTTTTCTTACCCTCGGGATTTTAATGCTACTTGTCATTTCATGCTTTCTGAAAGAAAAAGAACGAGATACGTCGTTAAATGATTTTACGTAAACGACAGAGAAGAACAAGCATCGATATATGTAAATCGATTTTATAATCTAGAAAAAATCGAGAAAAGTATATCACAGCTGTTTTTCGTTAAAAGCTCAATGCTTCTGCAACGCTAAACGTTGATAACTTTATTTAAAGGCTCTTAATAATTCGGAAGCGTGTGCTTAACCCAAATTCACGACTTCCGCGAATCCTCCACTAAACAGGCAAGCTACGGAGGTCGTTCTGTAAATTCCTTCATCGGCCATACCATGCCAAATCATACACTGCCACCATTATCGTCGTATTGATAATCGTCGAATTGAACAGTCCCATTGTACATAAAATCGCGAACAAAAGGAAACTACTTAACAACCCTTTTAGTTTTCAAAAGCATTTCGAATGCCAGAGGATAAGATTCTGAAAAAGATGTCTACGCTTAAGATAATTGAAAAACTGTATTCATGTACCGGTCACGACGTAGCAACGATACTTTTTAAACATTAGATTGACAAATGAAAAAGAGCGAAAAGAGCGTAATAGGTACGTATGTACATGCATAAATGTGATTTACAATCTGTAAGCAGTGTAACTCCTTCAATTAATGTTCGTCAACGTTATTTAACAACGAACATCAATTGAATTTCAGCTATTCGTGGTTAATTGTCCTGCTATTATCTACAGAAGTACATACAACGTAACGGTATCGAGATGACCTTATGTTTCCTTGTATATTTCTCGAAAAGAATAAGAGCACTTGTTCGAGGTGAAATTTCCGAAGGGAAGGCTTTTTGTATAAAAAAAAAAAAAAAAAAAAAAAAAAAAAAAAATTGAACCCTTTAACCGGTGAAACGAGCCAAAATACGATACAACATGGGAGTGCTATGGAGTTAAGAGAAAAAGAAAAAAAGATTTGATACACTAAAAACATTGTATACCGATAACGTATTGAACTACGGAGATAGCGAACCGAACGCGTATCACGAGTCAGATACTTAATGCGACGCGTCCGCTGTTTCTCGACACGATGATGTCATAACTTAAAACGCAAAGCCTTACTATTCGTTGTTCATTGGGCGGTACCACGTTCGTACGATGAAAAGGGCACAATCCACGCTAATAGGAAAATATTCAATTTTTTTTTCAGTCGCCTAATCGATAAACAATGAAACAACGACTACTATTGTTTAGTTAAATATATACTTTACATTTTATTAATTGTAGTAAGTAACGCTATTTTTAACGGAGAAAATAAAGGACCCATTATTAGAATCGGTAAAATCTGAAACTCAAAAGGTAATCGGGGGCACAGGCTGAACGTGGACAGGTGAGCGTGCCCCTTCTATAGAATCGAAACTCGAGAGCAGCAAGTTTATTTCCAAGCGACGATAGATTGCGCGCGGGCGGTCCTGAGTTGTTGCAAGAAAACGAAACGTTCTTCATGGCTGTCCGTTGATTTTGTGCATTTACATTTTACATAATATTTTCTGCCGAAAGAATCTAAGGATTTAGTGTCTCTATTAAGTATACGCGCATAAACGCACGCGCGCGCCAGCGCAACACGTACGTGTGTCTGTGTGTATATACATATGCATACTTACTACACACACTTTTCTACTTTTCATCTCCGCATACGACGAATTCGATCATAAGGGACGAGTCGAGACGAACTCAGCGTATGGTTATTCGTGCGAATACGCCCAAATGACTACCTTATGCATGTCAGTTTATTACTAACAAACAAATGCGAGACAATCCTCTATGAAAACACAAACACCAAAAGTTAAACTTCACGATACAAACGTGATTTAACATTATTCTCATTGTACCTAGACGAGTTTTGTCGATTGGGAAACATTGGGTGTTTAACAAATCGATTAAACGCATACCGAGAATAGGCGGAAGAGAAACTCACATGCGTTGCTTTGTAAATATATCGGTAACACAGTTATTTGTCACTACTACGACGATATAAGTAACAGTAATTACTACGAATATTCAAATTTTCAACAACACAACTATTTTTCCAATGTTCACTGCAGCAATGCTTTCTCGTCAATGTACATTCTCAACATCATGAAACGCACGCGCTATGTCAAACGAAAAATTAAACCAACAAAATGGCATTTCTATTCGATTTAAGCTTTTATTTTTGCGCGTTTGTGGAGATATCCTGCCTTTTAGCAGAAATACAGCACGAAAAGAAGGTCAATGGTTTAACAATGCAAATGGCGATACAGCAGCAGAGAGTAATGGTTTTCAATGGCGTAATTATGACAACAAGTTTTCTAACAGTGATTATCGATGTACTTTTACGAAATATTCCAAGGCTGATAAGAAATTAGACTCACAAAACTCAGGGATCACGTATTGTTCACAAGTGCTTACTAATGCAGAAAAAAGCATCCAAGATTGCCGCCTAATCGACAACGACACACCCCTTACGCTACGTCATTCTTGTCAATTATTTAGAGCCGCGTTCTCTTATATTTCAGCAGCATCGCATGTTCCAAGCAATTCGTATCTATATATATGTGTATATATATATACAATTTTTTTTGGGCATGGTTCAAAGAGACTTACCTAGCAGAAAATCAGCAACTATCGTCGATGGTTGATATATCCGTATCCGTTCGACTTGCCGTTCGTATCACCGAGCGGTCGTTCCGTTCGGTGGACAGCTTCCCCACCCCCGTCACCGTCGATGTTCTTCCGGCGGCTGGCAAGCCTTCTCCACCTCCTGGTTCTCCCGTACTACCACCACCACTATACTACTGCTCGTACCACCTCTCCAATTCCACTTCCACCTCTCTCTCTCTCTCTCTCTCTCTCTCTCTCTCTCTCTCTCTCTCTCTCTCTCTCCCCCAACTATCTTTCGTTGCACCCACTTCGAGCTATAAGTCTCCCTTCTCGTATTCAGTTATTTCAAGGGACTGCACTTTTTAACCTACACCGTTTTACGATTCATTCGGATATATGTACGCGAATATGCATACATATATATATATATATATGTACATATATACGTATATACTCACATTAGCGAGAATTTTCATAATTCATTCACTATTTTGATTACAAACGAAAATCCGATGATCTTTTTATCGATACGAGTACTTCTTCTTTTTCTTCGTCTCTACCCTACTCCATGCTCTTGCCTTTTCCCTCCACCTGATTCTACTAGATGGCCACGCGGATTGTGCGCGTAATACTGCTGCGCAGCAGATCTACGATACTTCAGAACGAGAGGTTGCTTTTCGAAAACTTATCATTCGATTGGCTATCCTTTAATTTGCTATCCAATCAAGATATTCGACGTTTGTACAACCAATCGTACACGCTACGTATAATATCATACGTACCTAAAGTCATCAAAAATCAGTATGTTGCAATCGATCGAAAGGCGTTTAGTATCATTTCAGAAAATACATATTGATTTATATAGCAAATTATTTATTTATCGTATTATTCATACGAAGAAAATAGACCAACCTACAAAATAAGATTATTCTATATCACAGTAATTTAATCATACCAAATTGTACTTTGTATCTTAGTGTAATACACTCCCCGTGCATGTGTAGATCTATTTGTGTACCTACTTGATTAATGTGTGCTTTACATACTGTATCGATCGCGACGTATGCATATCGTCTGACCTCTCGAACGCGCGATTTGGAAAATTTTAAACAACGCGCTTCCTTCGTATTCGCAAGAATGTACATGCATACGTGTATCGGTGAATTAGGAAACTCTCAGTTTGAAACAGCAATAATAACGAATGGGTACAATTGTTAATATTTCTTTTATATTTAACCGCATTACGAGTTATAGTAACTTATATTTGAACTAATTCGCGTATCGACGTATATCGCGTATAGAATGATTAAATTAATCAAACTGGTCGGATATGTTCAACCGGAGAAAGCCAATTATAGTAGGCTAGAAGTGAATGTTTATAATAGCTAAAGGGTTAAAGTACATCGATAAACAACATGTGAGGGGAATTCACTTGTACTTTATGCAACAAGGTTGCCATCGTTACATTAAAATTGATGCACATACATAGATGTTCTTTCTTTCCGTTCTGTTCTCTTTCTTTTCAAAGTAGAATTACTACTTCGAAATTTGCTCTGAAATAAATTAATCACCTTGTAAATAATAACCAAGAAAGAACATTAAAAATAATGTATTTTGGAAAATATATGTACAATATACGCAGGTCTCACGTTAACGATACGAAAATTTTGCGTAGTACTTACGTTACACGTTGAAGTAAAGAATTTAGTGAAGTTATTTACATAGGAATGTACTTACGTACACGCGCATGCACGTCCTTTTACGACATTCTGACAATTAAAGTACACGCACACTTCTTCTAATTTGCTTTGTTTATGTAAACAATGATTAATAATAGGTCAATGCATTTCTATTTATTATTAACGGCAGATTGTTTTCCCTCTTGTTACGTAAGAACCTGTTTGATTCGTGCATAGGATCAACTGGTAGGAGAGTTTCAAGCATAACAGATGTATACGATATTACAATCTAGTCAGTATTATTGTGGTCTCCGACTGGGGAACAGTAATATCTGCTTTTTTATCTGTTACTTTTCTCTCTTACTCGGTACATTCGATAACAAACATTAGCGTTTTCGACGCTATTAATTGTTATTAATTTCTAATTCGTGATTTGAAACATGAATCTTAAGGTAAACATGAATTTGTTTATACCGCTACTACGACAGGTACGTACCTATAAATGCTTCTAACAAACACGTATTAATGAATTTCGAATCAATAAATTCGTAAACTTCAAAACACACCGATAGCAAGAAGAAATGTAAAATCTTTGTTTGATGACGTGGCATGGAAATATTCAATCAGGCCTACATATTTAAGTTGGGCGTTTAGCTATTGCTTCCGAAACGTTTCTTCCAATCTCTTTCCTTTTTCTTTGTTTTTCTCTTTTCGTTTTTTACACTTTGGTAACGTAATACTTACATATGTACATGCGTAGGAAAAGAAAAGAAACGGCAAATTGTACGCTTTTCTTCTTATTCCTAATATTCTCTTTCTTGCCACGTTTCAACTTTTTAATTAATTCACTTGTTCGCAGGGACAATAATACTTTTACTTTACACGAATAAACGTTCGTAAAAGTAATTCCTTTTCATCTGTTTAATTATAGTTCTTTAACAAAGGAAACACGATTTACCTCTCGTTTTCGACCTTCTTCAAATAGACATTACGTTTTGTTTTCAGATATCGCGAAAAAGATTTACGGAAAGGCATCTGAGTACGTGCACCGCATCACTATTCAATCACTGTCCCGGACCTTTATCCCAATTCACAGACGAAGAACTTTTGATGAAAGAAAGCGGTAATGGTCTAACGTTTCTGCACAGATTGCTTGCTTATTCGTGAGAAAGTAAAAACATATGTGGCTTTTTCACGCTTACTACAATACTTGATCATCAACTCGTGCAAATTGTACGGGTAAGAGAGCCGTGAATAATGATTTTTGAAATATGACTATTTTTAGTTGGTAAATTAGCGAAAGAGGAAATTGCGCCGCTTGTACGAAAAATGGAGAAAGAAGGTAAAATAGACGAGGGATTAGTACAAAAACTTTTTGAAAATGGTGTAAGTAAACATAGTTGAACTCTTCTCGTTTAAACAGTAAATGATAATTCGCGATGGTCGCATTTACACTTTCGAATGTTTTCTCGCGCATTTTTGAGTTGTCCTTTCCAACACACCGATTCGTTGATAGCTGATGGGTGTCGAGATACCAGAAAAATATGGTGGTTCTGGATGTAATTTCATGACAACGATATTAACCGTCGAAGAAGTTGCGAAAGTTGATGGAGCTGTCGCAGCGCTAGTCGACATTCATAATACTTTGGTGAATTCGTTAACCGTGAAAGTTGCCACGGAAGAGCAGAAAGCAAAATATTTGCCGAGATTGGCTCAACAGCATGTAAGTAAGAGAAAACTCGTCGACAAAATACGATAAACCAAAGTTGACACTTTTCATCTTTATCTTTCTGTCCGCTGCACACCATTTCCTTAACAGGTAGGCAGCTTTTGCCTCACCGAACCTGGTTCGGGATCGGATGCGTTTTCTTTGAAAACGGAAGCAAGAAAGGACGGACCTTCTGATTATGTGATAAATGGAACGAAAATGTGGATTTCAAATTCCGATATCGCTGAATTATTTCTAGTTTTTGCAAATGCAAATCCTTCTGCTGTAAGTTTCACAACAGCTCTGTTCAAAACTGCCAAATTATTTTATACCTAACTCCGTTTCATCTCAAGCCTGAAAAATACATATACCACACGTTTATTGTGACATTTACGATTTTTACAAAATTCAACTCATTAATGTTAAGCTTATAAAAATTTAAAAACGAAATTACTGATAACAACGATGATGAATCTGTGAATCAGGGATACCGTGGCATTACGACGTTCTTCGTAGAACGAAATACATCGGGATTGACGATCGCCAAACCTGAGGACAAGCTAGGAATTAAGGCATCGGGTACATGCATGATTCACTTGGACAACGTCAAAGTAAACGAAACGATTCTCCGAACAACAAGAAAAGAAAGGAAAATTTTTTATTTTCTCAACCGTTTCCTCATATCGCTCAGGTTCCTGAAACTAATATCTTAGGACAATTTGGCCATGGATACAAATACGCTGCTGGGTTTTTAAACGAAGGTCGAATCGGAATTGGAGCTCAAATGATTGGTATAGCACAGGGTTGCTTAGACGCTACTATACCGTACACATTAGAAAGAAAGCAATTTGGAAAAGATATATTTTCATTTCAAGTATAACAGAAGATGAAATTGTTCCTCATTTTCCACATTTAGCCAACACAATTAATCTAAGAATCAAACGTTTCTAATCTTTTCGTAGTCTATGCAGCATCAAATTGCTCAAGTGGTTACCGAGCTTGAGTGTGCCAGATTATTGGTTTACAACGCAGCCAGACTAGTTGACGCTAAAAAAGATGTGATGAAAGAGGCTGCTATGGCAAAGCTTGTAGCTTCCGGTAATTGCTATCCCTTTATTTCACGACAACTGTAAGGTATTAAAGTATCATACGTACAACTCATACGTATTTTTTTACGTAGAAACGGCTTTACGTGTTACCGCAAAATGCATCGATTTCATGGGTGGAGTAGGATTCACGACAGATTTCCCTCAAGAAAAATATTTCAGAGATTCTAAAATCGGTACTATTTACGAGGGTACTAGTAACATGCAACTGTCAACCATAGCCAAATGTATCCGCAAAGAGTACTCGTAAATACGTCGTTATAATCAAACAAACTTTATTTTCATCCCTTTTTTATCCTTCGTTTTACAATGTCTATCTGTTAATAAATTTACATTAACTTTGATTATCATTTCAAACTCTACGAATTACTTCGGATCATGGGGTAATTTAAATCCAACGAGATCCGCGGTTTCTTTAACACTCCGTTCACCTTTACCGGTGTATCGAACTTGAATTTCTTTACATATTCGCTGAGATTTCAAGTAACAAAGGTACGTCTCTGCTAAATTTTTTAGTTCTTCTCGCGCTTTGCACAAAATTTCCGAAGTTTCTCGATGAGATCGTGCTTGATTTAAAACGTATTGTACCATAATATTATCCTTTGCATTTTGTCCGGATGACATTTGTCGAATTTCTTGTACAAGGGAGCGAAGCAATTTTGCATTAGGTTTCATCTTTCTTGCGACCTATAACAGAGGAAATTAATTCCTTGTTAAAACCAAAGTAATAAACGCTTCTTCTCTGAGCTCAATTAATTTGCATCAAAACGACGTTAATTTCCTTTGCAACACATATTCGATATGGTTTTTTTCGCTATATAAATTGCTTCATATGTCCGCTATATCTACTATGTATATCACATATCTCGATAATTTAATACATATTATTTGAAAATGTCAAGGAACGGTTTAACTAAATGTATAATTACAATTCTTAGCATCTACTTCCTCCGTTTGCTTAGCAGTTAAATAATCAATTTCTGCATCTTGATAACACGGCGCCTCTCGTTTATTCCAAAAACTTTCAGCAATCCTATTAATATCCTGTTCGAGGAATATATGAATGCTTAAGTCGTTAAATGCCTCTTCGCATGTGAAGTTGTTTCTTAAGGGGATTTCTGTCACGTACGATCGAATACGCAATATATAATCAACGGGAGTGGATCTATTTGCTTTTTTCAAATCATCCGCAACAATAGAGAAGCTATTTGTCAAGAGGATGCATCTATTTAACTGTCTACACCAATTTGCATAAAGGAAATTATTAATTAAATGTATCGAACAGTGTGGCATATATATCAACGTAACATTATCAAGGACATGGCGTTTGCCTTCTTCGTTAACTTCTATAACGTTACAATCAAATTCTTTCAGTAGCTCGATTTCTTTGAAAGAGAAAACTGGATCGTACATGTACACCTGAGAGCTGTAACGTTTCTTCAAAGACAAAAGTAACGCCAATTGATACTTGGAAGATCTGCGACAAGAAAAGTGACCCAAACCATAACACAATATATTAGAAATGCCACTGACATTTAAGGCACTTAACGAATCTCTTAAATAATAAAAAACATTGTCAGAAAACAACGAATTTCTCAGTTCAACTTCTGCTTCAAGTAGTTTTCTGAAAATTATTATAAAAATATTGAAAGAAATTTATAAACGTATATTCGAAAAGCGCGTATCTAAACGTCCTTACCCAACAAGCGTTTCGTAATTAACATTTGGATGATTATCATTTTCATGGTCATCGGGCAAAGATATACTCGAATCGTAATTGATTCGAACGTGAGATGCACGTTTCTTTCGGCGAGTTACAAATTTAAATTCTCCATGGTCTCGCATTCTAAATGTTACCCAATTCTACCGTAACTTGTTATCCATATACGTATGTATGTTTGTACAGTTATAAAAACAGGAGCATTCCAATTACTTGTACAAAAGATTCACGCACCTCTCGTTCAGATCCGTTGGAACGTAGTAAATGTGTACAGTTTGGTTAAATCTTTAGCAAAATTATTACAAGATATTCCTACCAAAATGCCACCCACAGTTTTCGATAAATAGATAAATTCAGCGTATACGTTAATTAGTTAAAGACATCGAGCTTCAGAATTTTCGCTAACAGATGGCGCTATCACACCGGTTGCAACGCAACAAATTTTGCAAACTATTAATAAACAGCAAATCACGTGCAAAATATGCGCTATCCTCGCGCATTTAAATAAATTTAATCAGTGCTTGCGGGAACGTGTAAGCCAGCCAAGCTTCAATTAGCATCTGTGCTTCGATTACAACAACACTGATAAAGAAATTTAAAACAGCATTCACTCTTTTCTTTTACAAGATCATTCCCCATCTTTCTCCTCCATCCTAACTTCTTCCTACATTTCATTTAAACTCTTATTACTATAAGCATTATCTAAAAAGCAAAATGGCAACAACAATAATACTTTGTACAAGCATGTGTTCAACCATAAGCACATCGTTCGTGCGAGTGTCGAAGAAACACGCATATCCGACAATCCTGATTGTATACTAAGAATTGTTGAACGACGATTAAAACGAGCAATTATGTATGTACGTATGTACTCAGATTTCACACAACCGATTTACTATACATCGCGGAATTTCAAGTTAAAAGTACATAACAATAAGAAAGAAAAGGATAAAGGAGCACACGCGAACACGAATGGGAACGGAGAGTGAATGCAAGCAGTATACAATCTACGAGACGTGACCAGCGATACGTATGTACATATAACGTATGACGTATGCGTTCCTCGTCAACGACAACCTGACCGAACGATTAATCGTTCTAAGGATGGTCGTGTATAAGCGTCTAAGCAAGTGACGGAGTAAGAGTTATGATCGTTCGGTATAGATCAACACGGATATGTAAGGTATCAATACGTAAGGAATCCATCCATCGTAATGCGTTCAGGCCGATTGATTTCGAATACAGTGCGTTACAGAAGAAGAAACGTGACATCTAAAGGTAAAAAATACTTATCGCACCGATCATGCCTCTACCACATGCAACGAATACGCGTATCGCATTTTTATAAATGCAACTTTGTACAGTGACTTGCGTCCTCCTATCGACGATAACACGAAACATAAAAGTATTAACAGCTACGCTTTTTTCCTTCAGGTATTCGTAATTGATTATCGAAGTGTTGCCATATTTGCTGGAAACGAAACACTAGCAACAGAAACACGGTACATAGATACTGTACGTACGTATATCGGAAGTAACGTTACGGATGATTTACCTTGGCTTTTTCAACGACCTTCTTCTTCACGTGTGTCCATTTACTCCTAATATCAATGGTACTTCTTTCATTGAAAAATTAATTATCAATTCCATTGGTCAACTCTATAGGTTGACAAGACAACATACTGTTAGAAATACACATGTATATATTAACAAAATTATTTGAAAGTTCGCGATTATTTAAGTTACCTTAGTCTTTCAGAACAAATCTGCAAATTGAACTTGAGAAACGATAAATGTAGATTGTCTTCTTTCAAACGGAGAAAACGTGGAATTTATGTTAAAGTAAGTTAACAACGATGAGAACATTATCACCCTCGTCGTCACTTTCTTTTGTACATCGAAACATTTTGAAAAATATTACGCTTTATCGACGTTTTATTCGATGTGATCTAGGCGCAAACGAATTACATATATGCTATCTACTACGAGAGGCATTTTTTAGAAAAGATGTCCTTAAGTATAGAAATGAATAAATGGGCTCCAAAATTGACAATCATCTTTCAGCTAACTATTTGGAGTATCGTTGGAATTATACTTCTTCAAAAGGGTGTAATCTCATTATGCGAAAAGACGAAGGCGCGGAATGACACAGTTGCCGTACAGGTTCGACATCTTAATCGATTACGAAACTACACATGTACATACATACATACATACTATACGATGCCTGCGTTTAACAACAGGTGGCCAGACTATCAGTGCAAAATATTCTTCGAAATATCGTCCTCGAAAATAAACAATTGCATACTTCTTTTAATATAAACGAATGTGGAAAATTCAGTATTAGAATTTAATAATAAAGACGATCATCGATCGCATTTTATACGGCCAACTTCGTTCGCCGTTCTTACAGCGACAAAAAGCGACCCTTTTATAAATGAAACATACATACTTACATACATACGTACAATTAAAAAGTAATTTTACCTATCTACAATAGTTCAATCTAATTGGTCTTTTCACTTATTTTGCTCGACATTTTGCATATCCATATATGTACATATATACATACATATGTACAATACATATGTAATATACAATACAAACTCAAGAAATATTCGAGAATACTGTTTTCGCAGGAAAAGGCCACGAGATGGAACGAAGAAGAATCAAATGGAAATCGTTCTCAAGTCGTAAAATTCCAAATTGGAACTCCACGGAAAAATAATAACGTTGATAAGTCTGACAGCGTTACATCGAACGAACAATGGCCGCGCAAATTATATATTTCTCATCGAACGGGCAATGCCGGCAGAGATATTTTTAAAGCGATTTCAACGAACGACGACAAACAAACAACGACGATTCGTCGCGACGATCATGATGCTAGAGACGTACGTTCAATTCAAACACCGACGATTTATACAAGCAAGAAAGATGAAAATACTATTATTACACTCACTTCCAACGAAAACCATTACGATAAACAAAATTCTATGATAGAAAATAGTACGTCGAGTGTTTCATTTGAATTCAAAACATCTGGTTCCGTTAACATCGTCACATTGGACGAGAGAAATTTCTTTAAGCATGGGAATGATGACACATCGCACGATAAAGGTGCAGAAAAAAGCAAAAGCGGAACAAAATCCCGACTCTCCCCTGTAAATCGAATCGGAGCCGCTATTGCTTTAATTATGCTTGCAATCGGAGTCGCTATGTTGCTTTTAGGACCGCTCATTGTTATTGTACGTGCATTTAGTAATAGAAGGCGAACTAGAGAAATGTTGAAAGCAAGGTGTTACAACGACCAGCCGCCAACTTACGAAGAAGCGACGTTAATGGATCAAGCACCGAGATATTCGACGCTCCAACTAGACACAATCCTCGATTCTTCTTTGTCTCTTTAATTCCATTTATCGTTTGTTTCTTTTCTTTCTTTCTTTCTTTCTTTCTTTCCTTCTTTCTTTCTTTCTTTCCTTCCTTCCTTCCTTCCTTTCTTCTTTAAATACACTTTTCGCACTCATGCCACTTTTTATTAAATTCTTTTCATTTCTATATCCTTTCCATGCATAAGCAAAGAACTTTTTCGTGTAATTGTACTTAAATTGAAGGCTACACATATGTACAACGTAATTTTCTTCTTGTATGTGCAATATCAGTATTTCCTTTTTTCCTTAATATCCTAGCGTTTTTTTTGCCAAGTCAATGATTATTAATCGACCATTTATACTTTACAATAAAAAATTTTGTAAAACGTACAAACGAATGGACGGAAAATGAAAATAAATGGAATGGAATGGAATGGAACGGAACGGAACGGAACGGAACGAGACAGAAGATTGCAATGAAATAGGACAGAAAGGAACGAGACGGAATGAAACGATTTAGTGATTCGAACCAAGATGGTACTGGAAAGTACGATGATATGGTAAGTTCGTGACATTTATGGATAACAAGCTTATAAGAAGCTTTATATTTTTTACTTTTTCACTTTATATCATTTTCATCTCTATTCAATCCCGTTTTATTGGAATTTTATGCTTTTTGACGTCGAGTATCTTGATAACCCATACACGCTAGTACGAGTGACAATGCAAAGTTGAAGTAATATACAACTTGTGATCAATTTTCTTTTCTTCTTTTTTCTTACACGGAAATTTAGCGAATATAAATTTCAATCTAGATGATAATCATGGACGAGCGAAATGATAATTGTCGATTAACTTTCAATCTAAATATATCTATTTTCGGGAATGAACAGGTTATATGGTCAAGATAAAATCTCAGTTTTCCTCAAATCTCTCTATAAATATAAAATGTTTAACAATTCTATCGCATATTATAGTGTCGACAACAGCGATTACATGAGAAATGGAGATTTCTTACCGACACGACTTCAAGCACAGCAGGATGCTGTTAACTTGGTTTGTCATTCGAAAACGCGCTCGAATCCCGAAAACAACGTTGGTTTGATAACACTAGCCAAGTATGACAGATTCTACCCTATATCCTAATAAAGTACATAATATTTCTTATCTCTTTACTTTATCTCTATTACTTTTCCAAGCAGCGTTGAAGTATTGGCTACACTTACTAGCGACGTAGGCAGAATTTTGTCCAAACTTCATCAGGTCCAACCAAATGGTAATCTAAGTCTAATTACAGGAATAAGGATTGCACATGTGAGTACACGAACTATGTTAATCTTGTATATCGTGTCTAAATAATGGTTATGATATATATGAAAAATTATGTTAACCAATAGTTGGCATTGAAGCATCGTCAAGGCAAAAATCACAAAATGCGTATAGTGGCTTTTATCGGTAGTCCCATTGAAATTGACGAGAAAGAACTTGTGAAATTAGCAAAAAAGTTAAAAAAGGAAAAGGTTAACGTGGATGTGATTAGCTTTGGTGAGGACAATGCTAATATCGAAGTATTGACAGCCTTTATCAATACTCTCGTTGGAAAAGATGGAACAGGCAGTCACTTGGTCACTGTTCCACCTGGACCACATTTATCCGACGCGTTGATTGCCTCACCGATAATTCAAGGAGAAGATGGAATGGGTGGTACAGGCATGGGAGGAGCTGCTTTTGAGTTTGGTGTTGATCCAAACGAGGATCCAGAATTGGCATTGGTTTGTACTTTACGATTATTCGTTTCAATGAAATATCAGCGGTAAATAATTGTTTGTTTCTCTTTTTCATTTACACAGGCATTACGCGTTTCCATGGAGGAACAACGACAACGTCAAGAGGACGAAGCGCGACGTGCGCAAGCAACCGAGGTGGCTACAAACAAACAGCCAGAAACGATCAAAGAAGTTCCCAATGAAGAAGTAATGTTAAAACGCGCGCTCGCAATGTCACTCGAGGGCGCCGAAAATTCATCCACAACAACTGACAATACCGCTCCCGCTAACATAAATGCCCCCGATTTTGCTCGTATGACAGAAGAGGAACAAATTGCTTTCGCTATGCAGATGTCCATGCAAGATCAACGTACGATGCATAGTTATTCATATTTATGCGTATATTTGACACAATCGAACGTACTTTATTATCCCTTTCTTGTGTTTTATTTTTAGAGGAACTCGAATCTGTGAAAGAGGAAGCAATGGAAGTTGAAGAGGATTATGCCGCTGTTATGTCTGACCCAGCATTTTTGCAATCAGTTTTAGAAAATTTACCTGGTGTTGATCCTCATTCCGAAGCCGTACGTCAAGCCGTTGGATCTCTTCAACAAAACAAAGATAAAGATAAGGATAAAGACAAGGAAAAAGACAAGGATAAAGAGAAGGAAAAGGATAAAGAGAAGGACAAGGGGAACAAATGAAAAGCCTGTGCTCACTAAATACATTACTTTATGTTAATCGCTGTTTTGTGAATATCTATGTACCAAATATAAGTTTCAGATTTTTCAGAACTTTATTTAATATTTTTCATACTTCAAGCTAACCTTTAATAACCTTTCATTTATTCTCCCCTACTTGCGTGTCCTTC